GCCCTTTGCAGGCAGGAAGGCACTCCAAGAAGGTAGCTGCTGCATTCCAGGAGGCCGAAGAGGCCTTGAAAGTTTCGATTGAGGTAAGTGGAGAGGAATGCCAGAAAGTCTTTCGATTTCGCGCCTCATCATGGACTCAGGAACGCACGTTCTTATCTCTTCCTTTAGGACAGGGTTGGAGTTTTTGGTTACCCTCATATAACTTCATCTTCAACCACGAAGAACGCAGTCTCACTTCCAGAAAGCCGGCCGTTAAAACAAGTAAATTTTCCGCGAGTGGCTTTATCGAAAGTACGCGAGCGCTGTAAATTACGGCGACGTACCGAGCAGAAGATGAGTCCAATTAGACTGAACGAGGTAAAGTGCACCGTAACTAGTTCGTGAGTTTTGTTTTCTTGTCGAATATTTATAGTGCATCAGAGGAAATGCCTTTATTTTTGATCGTTCTTGGGTGAAAGTGTTGTGGATTGTCTTGCTGCAGCTGGTAGCAATTGAGTTCACGATCAAAGTTACTGTATAGGAATTACACCAGAGATTATTTGACTGGTTACTTGTGTTTCCGCTGCATCGACTTATTTTGCATGCTTTGGAAAGTAATAAGTTCAAATTCATCAATACTTGCTTCTAGTTCCCAGCTCGCATCCAGCCTTGCGTCAGAGGGAGCAAAACAGTCGAATTATTGTACGTTTAGATAGTTTTTGCACTAATATGCATTCACTGAATCACCAAGTCTCTTGGAAATCGGCCGCACCGTCGCAGTACGTATATTGATTGATGTAGGCTGCTTTGGTGCGCGTGGCTTCAAAAAGGACGACCCTTCTTTAATTGGCAGTCAGCAAAAGCAAGCTGCCTCGTGGGTAGCTTTATGTCTCATGTCCCGTTTACGCATGGTTTTTTGAGACGGCGGGTCTTGTACAATCCGATGGCTTTCTCTATCCTGGACGCAGAAAGTAGAAGTTACCCTGTTTACGCTATTAGACCCAAAATGTTGATTCCACTACGCAGACAGGAAAAGGGGAAGCTGAAAATTCTTAATATAACATAACTTTTCTTGGCATGAAGTTAACATTCGGGAACAGAAACCTACCCTCAGAAGTTCTTGCGTAATAAGGGATGGGTGGGACATCGTGCATGCCAACCTGTTGCGAAGCTCGCCATTTACTTCAGATAACGTTTCCGAAGTTGCTAACCCAATAAGCATAGTGTGCGTCAGTGTTATATCGGGCCTGCA